TTATTAATCTTAGTTTATGTTAATATCAACATTTAATGATACATTACTAAAATCAAAAGTTGTATTTGTTTACCCTGTAAAGCTGGTCATTTGAAATAACAGTCTGAATAGACGAAATCAAAAAGGTCTAAACTGAGCAAAAATATGAAATGTGGAGGCCAAAAATATGCTTAGAATACATTGCAATATAATGACGATTGAGAGACTAACTAATAAACGTTCCTCAAAAGCAAGATGTAATATATTCGATACACACTAAAAATTGATGTATGGATAATCAAGTAAATCTAAGTTGCTTCAGCCAAGTAATTTTTCATCTTGAAATTTTACTAGCAATATAACATTTATTCTCACAGTAACTTAAGATTTTACACTGAATAACATTTTTAGATGTTTTGATTATGTTCACAATTTAGAGGTATTAGAAATTCATGTATCATATAAAGTATTATGAAGAAGTCTTTATGAACCTAACGCTAACATGAAGTGACAATGAACCGTTAACTAACATTAACCAGGGTTTATAAATGTAGCAATCAAATGTATTGTCCATTGTTATGTAATGTTAATTAATACACTATATTGCCAAAAGTATTGGGACACCCACTTCTAATAAACAGGTTTGACTATTTTAGTAATTTTCATGAGTACAAATCTTAATGTTAAAGCACAAAATTATATTTTAGGGAATCGTGTGCTTCTAATTTTATAGCAACAGTTTGGACAGGACCCTTTTCTATTCTAACATGACAATGGCTCTGTGTATAAGGCAAGGTTCAAAAAGAAATGATTGATTCAGTCAGTGTGGAAGAACTTTACTGGTCCCAGCTGAACACCTCTGGTGTGACTTCAAATGCAGACCTTGAGCTAAAAACTCATCACCAAACACCAATGAGTTGTACATATGGGTACAGTCATTTTAGACACTTCCAAAACTGTTGCAACAGAGATGGAAATACAGTTTTTAAATACATTAATTATGTTTCCATCTTTGTTGCCACAGTTTTGGAAGTGCCTTTTTCTGTTCTAACGAAAGGGGTGTCTCAATACTTTTGTCCATATAGTGTACAGTATATGTACAAGTCATTGGTGTTACATAAGCTTACTGTACAAACAAGCTCGATTTCGTTGTCATTGTATTCAACATTCAGTATTGTCACACTAGGCAAACTCTTTTTAATGGACAGTTTTCTCTTTCACGTTGGAAGAGACTCTTGCTATGTAATTTAGTTAAAGTTAGCTAACTGGTTGACATGTTTATAGCTAACCTCCTGTGTAATCTGGTTTAATGACAGACATTTAAAGTAAACTCTATCGCCCCCTCAGGTTTGTCACTGCCAGATAAAAGAATACACATTAAGCTGGCCTGCAGTGTGTTTCCCAAACATTTACGCAGCATAATACGCTCTCATCGAGCATGTTTCAAAGTAAAATCCCACGGACTACCCAAAAAGGAATCATTTTTATAGGACAGGCGAAGTATATTGAGGAGCATAGTGCATAACGGAGTGATCAAATGATTAAAACTGTGAGCTCCCATTAGTGCAGTCGTCCAGCTCAAACTCATCAGACACTCGCTAGCAGCCATTTCAATAAACCTCAACATATATTATTAAAATAATTTTTCAGCAATAAAACCATAAGATGCTAAAAGCCACCAACAGTTTCGAGGGTTAGAGAATGCAACATTTGAAATCGCCATTCTGAACTCTTCAGCAGAATCTCATACAGGTGGCCTAACATTACAGCATTCCCAGACCATCTCATTGAAGCTGGGTGTCATTATACATCACCATTCTGAAATAAAAAAAAAACAAAAACAAAAAACACAACACTGAAAAAAGGACTGGTCATTTTTGCCAGGAAATATAGGTAATACAAAATAGAGGTAAAATGACTGTAAAAAAACAACAACAAAAAAACACTATATCAATAGCAATACTGTTTTTACACATTTTATTTCCAGTGTATATTATCACAGAAGCAACAAATAAACAGTGCTAATATGCATTAACAGTGTTACCAAAAATTCATAATCTTAAACTTTACCTCCATACCAACATCCCAGTTGGCCAGACAGTGAATTATCTTTAATATTGGCATCAGGGAGGCCATGACCCCAGAAACTGTAGTGCACACCATGAGTTTAATTGTGTTATAAATGAAAATTGCTCATACATAGACTTTGAGATAGTATTCTTACTAAAAATGGAGTAAAGCTTGGACATGCGAAGAGAATATGTTATGTCACAATTTAACAAGCGAATTGGATTAGTAGAAAAAAAAAGTACAGTAGAAAGAATAATAAATTTTTTGATTTTTACAAATTTTGAATGTTGCATAAATACTATGCAGCCAATTTTAATAAATAACTGCATAGCATGTAGACATAGATTTCTCTTTTTGCATATTATGGTAAATCAAGAAAAAAATAATCTCATTCACTAATACTTGCATGGATTATACGCACAGGAGATCTTTTCACGCAAAATTTTTTGCACGTGTATGCATTTGAATATGTTCTTAGCCCTATTCTAATGTTAATGCATTTAGAGTATTCTAAATGAGTGACCACATACAGTACCCATAGATTAGTAATTTGCATAAAACACATCCGACCATTTCCATATCCTTTACTGTGTTTCACCAAACGTATGACACTTTCAAAAGATGTGTACTATCCTGAGAGCATGCACTGCAAGATCCTTGAGCATGTACAAAATTTAATCTTAACATGATTATAAGGCCATCCTTATAATGGTGGTTTCAGTTGTTCCTACAATTTTAGTAGCTTTAGAATACATTTTAGTACTTTAGTGCTTTATTGATGAAACATGGTTTGTTCGTGAACATGTTCGTACTTAGATTTCACAAACAAATGTGTGCATATGCACTGCTAGTGAATGAGACACAATGTTCTAGATTATACAGAAGTAGATTAGAGTTCTTTGGCTTGTAATAATAGCAAATCAATAGCAGCTGAAGAAGCCAGCTGTGAAAGTAGAGATGTAAAGAACCTAAAACCCCAAACACAAAACTATTTCAGCCACAATGGGTTTATATATAGTTATGCTAGATATGGTTCTAAATGTTTGTATTTAAAGAACATAAAAGGAACCTATCTAACTTAAAGTGCATCGTTCTTGATACTATTGAGTTTTGTGACCGTTTCTCTGTAGAGCATTATACAGAATCAATAAAGGCAGTTTATCAAACCGTCAATCACTCACACTGCCACTCGATCACTCAATACATCAGCACCTGCTAAAAGAGCATATGTGTTCAGCTCTCTGAACATCTGCTGTTCCAGGAAATCTGACTGCAATGGATTACAGGCATTGTCAGGGCCAGGATGCTTTGAAAGAGCTACATTTCTCTCTCTCTCTCCAGTAATCTGCTCTAGCGTTGCTATCTACAATAGGATGTCTTTTTCTTTCAATATTTACACATTGTGTGTGTGTTTTGTCAGAGTGAAAGCAACACTTTTTACCTCCATAATTTTTAATAATGCTATGAAACTTTATTAGAACTGATTAGAAAAACAGAGATTGACCATGAAAGAGATTGTACAAAAAGGTTAGAACAAGTAAGAATTGTATGTGACAAACAAACAAATACATAAATTAAAAGTTTATATATAATTTTTTAGAATAAACTGTACTGCATGAACTGTTCACAATAAGGCAAGGATTATGCAATGAAGCAAACAGGGTCAATTTTGATTTCTGCTGACTAAAGTTTAAAATAAGCAAAGCAAAACTAATATAGATTAGGATGATGTTTAAATTTCTATTATAGTAGCATTTAATGAATAACAGATCATCATTATATGCTTAATGTTCCTCTGAAAAACAAGATATAGCAGAGGCGGATAGGAAAGGCAAACACCAGATTACTCCTCTTTTGAAACAGAGGTGGCTGAGGATTTCACTGAACTGGTTACAAACGCTGGACAATCAAAACCACACTGAGGGGACACTCTCCATGCTGTGATCTCAGAGCAAAAATATTGACTTAATAAGAGGAATTTAAGTGTCGCAGTGAACATGTTCACAGCCCTCTGGGACTGGATAACGAAATGCAGAGTGGATCTCCCACATACAGACACTAAACAGTGTGCAGTCATAAAATGCTTTCAACCTTTGTCACGTCCACAGCGATAAAAGCTTTGAAACACAACCTCAATTATTAGGTCAAGTATAAAATCTTCATTCTCAAATATTTCGCTTTTTATTGCATACTTCAGATCCCCTTTGAGAGCTGAGATTTCAAATTAGGACATTCTGATAAGACAGCACTGATAGCGTTTTCACCCTGTCATCACTATTATACAAAAAAATTATATATATATATGTTTTATATGTATTATTATTCTCCATTTATCCAGTACATTTCTTTCTTAAAATGGCTCAATATTTAGGTGTTTTTTTTTTTTTTTTCAGGCGTTTTCATAAAGAAAATAGAAAATATCAGGAACATCACAAACCAGATTCAAACACACAACCCTTGTGACACCAGAATTCAATATGCCAGAGCATCCTACTGGCATGAGAGCTTTAAATGCCTCCTCAGCAGATGTCTTTAACATGCAAAACAATATTAAAAATACTGCCCTGTCATTGACCTTCCTGGTGACTCAATTAGTAAAGCTGTAATCAATTAAAAATGTAGTTAAATCAAATCAAATTAGGAAAGGATAATGTAGAGTTAGCTGCTCCTCATCGCAAATATAAGTGCTGACAGTGTGATCCGGTTATGCGTCATCCTGATGTGGTCCATTCTGCAACAGTGTCTGGCTAACTGTACATTATCTCTGTAATTATACATCTGTTTAACTGAAAAATATATAAATTGCCTGGTTTAAGTTAAAAGAAATGAGACAAAAGAGCCCATGAGCCATGAAACACCAATGGTCAATGGTCCTTATTGAGCCTTTTTAAAAGTTTTCTGTAGGACTTGAAGTTACATGTGCTGCAAGTGATATGACAGGCTCAACTCACCTTAAAGAAGGTCATTGTAGCGCCATCCTCCACCACTCCATACTCAATCTTGGTCTGCTTGGCCAGGTCATCGGCCGAGTCAATTGGAGATTCCATTCTCTCCACGGTAAGAAAGGCGGCTAGGTTGGCCGTGTAGGAGGAGATGATGATTAGGGTAAAAAACCACCAGATGCCTCCTACTATCCTGGTGGAAAGGGCTTTGGGCATGAGCTCAGATCCTAGTAGAGAGGAGCAGAGATAGCAGTCAGGGTAAATCACTGGTCACAATGTGAGGACCAGCACCAGATGCACACACCCAACCCAGTCCAGACACAACAACTAGTTTCAGGGAAAGGCCTTGCCTGTTGACAACTGGGAAGACATATCAATGCTAACCGAAAACGCCAAAGTCAACCGCGGTGAAGGTGGGAATTCATTTATGTTTTAGGAGAATTTATGTGGTCAAATTTAATTAGATTCCAGACTCTCAGATTTGTATTAAATCATAAAGGGCTCATGATTTGCTTCCGTCTTTGAATTGCCCTACACTCTTCAATCCATTTGGCTTGTGGGTAAAAGCCAAAATGAAGAACCATTTTATGTCACAACCTACGTATAATTCTCTGTTATCCCTTAATCAAGTTGTCACCATGGCCATGCAGAGGAAATTAATTGATGGGGAAAAGTCGGGACAATAACTAGTTGTACTAGGAGGAGATGTCAGAGGACAAGAGCACAGGGAAATAACCGGCTCCTCTTCTTAAGTTCTATGAGTCAGCTGTAAGCTTTGATCTGGCACAATGAGTCCATGGCAAAACACAATGGACTGTTGAAAAGATTAGCCGTTACATGAATTACAATTGAACTGCGAACGTGAGTTCCAATCAGGCCTCAACAGACTGGTAATTCTCTAGTGACCTGTCAATCAAGTCCAAAGTTTGGATATATAACTCTAGCTCCCAGACAGCCTGAACAACCATTGAAATGGAAAGAAAGAAAGAGAGAATTACTATTTTCCTGTATATACTAGCAATTCAGTTGTTAAAGCTGATGTGTATATTTTTTCTTGATGCTAAAAGACATTCTCCTTTCCCATCAGAGACAACTTTAAGTACAAACATTGTGGTGCTTCAACATTCCGACATGTGGCTCAACTAGTGGTGTGAGTTTTGGACAGGAATACCTGTTTATCCAAACAAGTAGTCAAGCACAGTGTAGAAGGGGCAGGAGAACTGTATGTGACTCTAGAGTCGCATATTTTACACATTTCACCTTTAAACAAGACTTGGCAAAATCAATCAATAGCAGAAAAGGTGCTTTGGCACCCACAACTACTTTTATAAAGAAGCAAAAATAGTATGTCAGAACACTGAAAAAATATAAAAAGAAAACCATCCTGAGAAGAAAGTTCATTTCAAAGTATCACCTGGACCATTTGGTCAGGGTGACCTTATATAACCTGGTTGGGGCTGACTGTCATGTACCCAAGGTAACGTCATAACCAAGCACGCCGTCCCACAGTTTTCTGGGAGCTGACAAGCCATGGGCAGGGGAGCCTCTCTACAGTGTAGTATTACTCATTCATCATGAGGCATGCAGACAGTCAACATACACAATCCCTTCATACATACATACACAATCTTCTCTTCCAAACTTACAAAGGAACCTGAACAAATGACAGTCCCAATGACACCCTATAGTTATGTTGTTATGTGGTGATGCTGTTGGACAATAATTAGTTTGACAGGAAATAATAGGCCTACCTCCTTTTTCGCTATGATCCTAACGCACTAGCATATGACTTTTAATGACTTCTGCTTTCTGAGGATTACTTGTTCATAGGAAAGAGTTGCAATCCACAGTGCCAATCGGATGGTGGGATTCAGTAGGTTGCCTAGACACACACTGATGCACCCACATTTGCCGTCAAGCATCTAAGGTAGGGGTTCCAAATCCTGATCCTGGAGAACACCCAACACTGCACAATTCATCATGAGGCATGCAGACAGTCAACATACACAATCCCTGCCCTTTTAGCCCTCAGCCTAATGCCACATCTTCTCTTCCAAACTCACAAAGGAACCTGAACAAATGACAGTCCCAATGACACCCTATAGTTATGTTGTTATGTGGTGATGCTGTTGGACAATAATTAGTTTGACAGGAAATAATAGGCCTACCTCCTTTTTCGCTATGATCCTAACGCACTAGCATATGACTTTTAATGACTTCTGCTTTCTGAGGATTACTTGTTCATAGGAAAGAGTTGCAATCCACAGTGCCAATCGGATGGTGGGATTCAGTAGGTTGCCTAGACACACACTGATGCACCCACATTTGCCGTCAAGCATCTAAGGTAGGGGTTCCAAATCCTGATCCTGGAGAACACCCAACACTGCACATTTTAAATGTCTCCCTAATCAAACACATCTGATTCACCTCGTCGTCTCATTAGTAAAGACTCCAAGACCTCAACTGTGTGTGTCAGATAAGAGTGACATCAAAAATATGCAGTGTTGTTGGTTCTCCAGGACCAGGATTGCGAACCACTGATTTAAGGACATCACTCATGTGGCTGGATATCACTTGTCCCTCTTGTTCAGGTCTCTTCAACCATGCTCTTGGGAACCCACTGTCCTGCAGAGTTTAGCTCCCACCCTTATCAAACCCACTGAACTAGCTAATCAAGCTCTTCAGGACTACCTGAAAATCCCAGGCAGGTGTGTTGGATATAAACTTTGAAAGGATAGTAGATCTCCAGAAGCAGGGTTGAAGACCTCTGCTCTAGTTGGATGCTGACTGCACATGACCCTGTAACTCTTTAGCATGCTCTTTATTTATTCTAAAAATTAGCCAGACAAATCGCTCCACCAACTAGAACAGCTAGGCAAAAAATACCTGCAATGTTTCTTCATTTTTGACATTCAATGTGAAGACAAATATCCATGCTATCTACATTGCAAACAGCTGGTGGCTGGCTTCAGCCAGTCCTCAAATATAAATCTCTTTCACAATGTAGATTTTGCAAAGACTCAAAATGCTAATGTTACATGGCAAACCAATCCCAACTGTAAACCATTCCATTTGACAGATGCAGTGCAGATTCAAACATTACCCATGCTACTTTGCAAACAAGGGCCTGGTCTATCATTGCTCAACCAAATATCATTATGCTATTCTGATGCAACACATTCTGATGCATGCAGGTTACATGTGACATTGTCCTTCAATCACTATAGGCCTTTCTCATTCTCAAACATCTGCAGTTGAGAAGATGTGGCATCAGGATTTGGTAGGGTTAGAGTTAGAAGTCAAGAATATATATGGCAGTCTTAGACACAAGACCAAGAAATTGTCTGCCACTTTTTTTTTGCACATGAAATTTGACTTACCTACTCAGAACCCTGAAGAGCGAAGACAGTGGTGGTTATGGAAAAGTTAGCATGCACCTAACGATCCCCTGATCCTCTACCCAAAACCCACCAATAAAAAAACTTTTAAGTCCCACACAGTCCCATTCATACCATTAGCCAGCAACCAATTTGCTTCTAGAACTACATGCACAGAGGCACCCATGCATCATAGTGGGCCTGACAAGAGCAAGTTGGGACCCCCAGCAAAAGAGTGGGATGTGTGCTAAGGGGGGCAGGCAGAGGCGTCTACCTTGCTGCATGAGAGCTCCAACTCCGAACCAGAAACTATTTAGCAGGGTGAAATTGTTTTCCACTACATCCGAGTCGGGGTTGCACGGGTGGGGGTTATACCATTCGTAGGGGCTAAACCTGTGGCAAACAACACAGAACACACAGACATGTTTTAGTCCAAATTATGGTACATGGAAGAAAAAATGAAGGAAAGGCAGGTCTACCTATAGAGACACAAGGAAAAAGAGACAAGTTAGCATAATCATCAGTTAATTAGATATCAGGATTCTGTAAAAAAAAAAACAGAGTTCTCTTGGAGAATCTATCTCTGTCTTTCTTCACAGATGGTTTAAATGTTTTTTTTTTCTTTAATGTAACAAATAAATAAGTTAAGTGCGTGATAGTTACATGTTGCTTAGAGCTGTTTATGTTCATTTGAGTTCATTTTGTTTCTATTCCAGAAACTCCCAAATAACATATTCATATCAAATGCAACCATAATTATGAATGTATGAGAGCAAATTTAATTAAATTAAGCTATAAAAAAAGACCAGACATTTCTGATTTTATGAGCCATGGCCCATGTCCCAATGAAGTTACGGTACAGAACTTTAAGGGACAGATCACCTAAAAATTAAAAGTCTGTCATCATTTACTCACCCTCAAGTTGTTCCAAGCCTGTATGAGTTTCTTTTGAGGAATGTGGATAACCAAATAGTTGTTGGTCCTCACTGACTAACCTCATACAGGTTTGGAACAACTTTGGGGTTAATACAATGTGACAGACTTTTCATTTTTGGGTAAACTATCCCTTTAATAGAACAATAAGCATTAAGAAGCAACATATGCCACACACATATGCAAAAACATGCTCACTGCAAATTGATACTGTGTTGGGCTTTACCATCAAGATGAGAGTTTAGGAATGTGTTTTGTTAAAAAAAAATTCAAGCCGTTTTCAATAAAGAATGTTTCTTTAATTTTCAATATTTTCTGCTGCACAAACCTCTACATTAGTAATAATGAAGCCATTGTACTGACAGCAGTTTTCTCATCTCACACATACAAAAATGAATACGTCTCCGACTACATCAAAGCACAATTCCAAAGCTGCTGAGACAGAGCCTATGGATTATTTTCTTATGTATTATATAATTTATAAACGATTTTATCTGTACATAACGTACATGTTGTTTATGTTGTTTATGTATTTATGTATTAATCACTATACCTTATATCTTAGCATTAAAAAAGCAGCTAAATACATGCACTCAGAAAGTACATGAGACATGTACATGTACGTAAGGCCTGGAATAGACCGAGCCTTAACTTACGATGTGTCTTGTACTTTATGAACAGCAGTTTTCTCATCTCACACATACAAAAATGAATACGTCTCCGACTACATCAAAGCACAATTCCAAAGCTGCTGAGACAGAGCCTATGGATTATTTTCTTATGTATTATATAATTTATAAACGATTTTATCTGTACATAACGTACATGTTGTTTATGTATTTATGTATTAATCACTGTACCTTATATCCTAGCATTAAAAAAGCAGCTAAATACATGCATTCAGAAAGTACATGAGACATGTACATGTACGTAAGGCCTGGAATAGACCGAGCCTTAACTTACGATGTGTCTTGTACTTTATGAGTGCATTTCTTTTTTTATTTGTCAAAATTATTTTGTTGTAACTGACAACTTCAGATGCTGTCAAAATAGCTTAATTTGTAGTTAACCCAGAATATCCATTTAAAATAATTAATTTAGATGCCCAATGCAGAAGCTCTAGTCAATTCCATCATCTCCACACCCCAATCCCTCGTACTGTGCTATCTCTCTCCCACATTGAGGCTTTCCATTTACTCCAGCTAAATATAAGTGACATTACATTAGTAAAGGTTGATTGGGCGACAATTAAGCATTGTGACCCAATTCTGTTTGTGCTGAAGTAGTGGAATAAAAAAGCATCTACAGGCTTTTCAAGAGTTGAGCAATCTAATACCAAGGAAATTATTTGTCTCAGCTATTTTTTTTTAATTCTCCATCAGAACTCTAAAATGGAAACAGAAATTATTGACTTTCAGAGACTAACAGTAGAGTACACAACATTTTCTGCATATGAGTCTATGAGCAACATTAATCAAGTGCTGTTGCAATCATAGTTATTTTCTATCTAAATTGATTGCTGTGCTCTTTAAATAGCTAAAGAAGCAGTTAGATAGTTAGCAGTTATTAGCTATATGTGATGCACATGCAAACTATAATCTTGCAAAGATGCAACTGCTGCCCCAGACGTTTCATGCTAAGGGTCTTTGTGCAAGTTCACACAATCATGTTCTGTAAAGCCAATTATAACGGCAAATCTAACATGGATGGCTGTCATCAACTGGAGCGTGCCAGCGGAGGAGAGAGGCGACGAACAGCCTCTGTCTGCATGAGACGCAGCTTAACCTGCTGCTACGGGAAGCGTCAGTCGTCCGTTAGCTGTCAGTTTGATCCAATTATACTGACCTTCTGTTATCTCCGGTCATCTGTGCCGCAGAGGGAAAATTTTGAGCAAGGTCAACATGAAGAGATAAACGAAGGCTGAGGAAACATTGATGCCTCGGGAAAGAACAATGGTGCTGTTTCTTTTTTCTTTTTTTTTCAGAAAGTCATTGTGCACAGGACTGATAACGCACCTGATAGCAGTCATGTCAGATCTGGAAGACTGACATATTTAAATAACGTCGCTGTGTAGCTGCATTTAGCATCCAGAACATGGGTTGAGGTCATGTTGTGGAGCTGACATACAATTCAATAAGGATGCTACACGAGGATGCATTGCTAATCAATGCACTACCATAGATTTCAAAGACTGACTGCTTGTTCAGCATAGTCTTACTGGGTTTTCGGTCTTAAAAGATGTCTAGTATTCCTGTAGGATTTCAGTGCCAAGCATGACCTCTTTTGAATTTGAATTTTCTCTAACCTAAATCTGTTTTTCCTGCTTTTATTCAAGTCAAAAAATATTATTTTACATCACTGAATTAATGTAAATACATGAATTTATAACATTGTAATTGTACTCAAATAAAAAGAATGAATTAATAAATAAATAAAGATTCTACTAAAATATTTAGTCCCACTGTCAGACTCTGTTCCGTGTTTTGTGTGGGTTTTGCTCCCCATGTGTTTCAATGCCCTTATTTTGTCCTTCCCGTTCCTGTCCTTTTGTTAATTTGTTCCAGGTGTTCCCCGTTTAGTTAATTTGATCCCAGGTGTGTCCCATTAGTTATTGTGTATTTAAGCCCTGTGTTTCCGTATCTCCAGTGTCCGGTATTGAATGTTTTCCTGAGTGTTATTCCGTGTTGTTGCATTAACCCTTTCGCACGTGAGTTTAAAATATTCTAGCTGAGCCCCCAGCGTGAGTTTTTTTTAGGCGACCGTTATTTTAGAATGTATCGCCTTTTTGGTTTCCATGGTGACGCATCATGCTTGTCATGTGACACAACGCAGCCACAATAGATCTGTATGACACATGGATCGCTTTTATTTTGTTTTTCCTATTTTATTCAAAATATTCACAAACATGCTCACTATATGATGACATATCTGATATTCCAATTCTGAAATATGTGCAAGTAAATCTATTTGGTAGTTTAAACACTTTTATATCGACCGTGTTAGTTGATCTATACCGGATGATGGGCGCCGCCATGTTAGTTCGCGCTGAATCCGAGCTGTGGGATTTACAACACGCAAATTCATCCTCTCCTCCCGAAACACGTTAAAGTAGGTCTCCGGTAAACTGGGAGAAGAGCAGAGTAAACTTTATAGTTACCTACACAATCTGTATATGATATCAATAAAAACATGTCGTCAGATTATATTTGTAAGGATCATTATTGCCGTTTCCATAAACATCAGCGTGCATTTTACAAACTGTAAATATATGGTTTTGCTAGTACTTGTGTATTTAAATGTCTGAAACCTAAAATAAGCATTATATGGTTGAAAACACTGAATATTTTTGTGATAATATGACAAGTGCTCAGCGCACCCGATCTGGCTCGTGCCAGCCAAAGCGCGAAAGCAGATTTAAATTCAGCAGTTGGTGACCCACTGAAAGTTCTAATCACACCGGTGTGATCGTACGCTTCAGGGACCAGCCAAGACTGATCACACCGGTGTGATCGTACGCGTCAAAGGGTTAAAGTAACACTGAATGAACTAGAATATAGCTGCCAAATGCTCCATTTTCTCTCATGCGCTGCATCTCTCTGTAACCTGCGAGTCA